AGTTATTTGAGAAAATTAAATTAAAAGTGTAAATTTATAAATATATGCTAATTTATGAAATTATGAAAATTAGGCTTGGCTTCGTTGTCTAGGGTTGTATTACCAATGGTGATAATACAATGATTCTCGATTTAACTTTAACTTATTATGTTTTAGTGTAATTATGCCCAGTCTCAGAATTCAGATCTCACCGCAGGATAGAGTTCTTATAATCCAGATTATTATGCATGAACTAGGAAGGAACCACGCAATTTTAATATCTAAAAACACTCTAACATGCGAACACGCTTATGGTCGGAATTGCCACTACAGTACTCCTGTAGAGGTTCTACTCATCGATCTGTACAATTAACCCTCAATGGTTACGTCGTTAAAACGGAGGAATAGAACAATAGGCTAACTTCTCAGAGTAGCGCAACCATACATGGCGATAGGAAAAGTCCTTAAAAAAAAGACAATATTCATACGGAACCGTGCTAAAGAAACATGTACCCAATGGCAAAAGTGGACATCAATGAATTAATTGGTAAGACTATGCAATTAACGAAATGTCCTGAAACAATAGTGTGCGTGTGAGAGTGTATGTTTGGCGAACAGATGCTTATCAATTGGCTAATGGGACATCAATGAATTCCCGGGCAAGATTCTGTGATCAAAAGAAAATCTCAACACAATAGTATTCCTTTGAGTGTGTAGAATCGTAACATAGATGCTTATAAAGGTTGAATGTGACATTAATACATTCATTGGTAAGGTTATGCGATAAAATAAATGAATGGCTTATAATTCTAAACGACCGTATTCATGCAACTCAAGTGGCAAAACAATGCTTTTCACGATCAGCTAATAGTTAACACCCACCTTGGGATGGCAACCCTTTTTGAAACCTTTTTGAAACACTTATTCGCACTGATATGCGTGTTATGTGTGTGTGTGTGGAGGGACAGCACGAGGTTCAATAATTATAGCAGGCAGGTATGGTATAAGTTGTCCACATACTATTTCTGTTACTCTGACGAGTTTAGCAGCTTCCGCGGTGCAGCGTTCCTTGTGTAGTGGGTTCTAATCAGGGGCACACCAAGACTTGGAGGCAACACGTTTATTTACTAACACAATGAGCACCACTCAACGTTCCAAGTTTAACTATGTACATTCCAAGCAACCATGGACATTATGGGTTAACTACGTAAGGTGGTGACCACCATCCCTAACCACTTGAACGGAATCTCTATGTGGTTGAACCAGAACAGCCAACACGTCATCGGGTCGTCATGTGCAGTGACCGAAGAGCGAGGATCGAAGAAGGCAACTTCTTTCCCGGGTTGAACAGCCACGCTCCCTCTCCTGAGACGTCACGCCCCCTTCTCGATCCTTCGTGGAGGCTCTGGGTCCACATCACGTGGCCCGCTCACCCCCTTCCGGGCTCCCCGTGTCCCCTTGTCCGGTCACGTGCTCTTGTGGGTACACCCAGACCAGGGGTCGGGAACCTTTTTGACTGGGAGAGCCATAAAAGCCAAATATTTATAAATATATTTCATTGAGAGCCATATAGTATTTTTAACGTATAATAAATTAAATATGTCTTACTTTTAATGCGACTTCTGGTGCTATATGGTTTTGCTGATGGACTTGTTGTCTGGTTCATACGTGGTTAGGTTGAGCTTCATGCAGGCGTGACCCGTGAAATTTATCTTCAAAACTAATTTCTGTTTACTTTACAATGACACAGTATTATTAAGCAATATCACAAGTATTTTAAAATCAGTTCCAAACTGATTTTTTATTTTTGTATTATTATTTTTTTCAACTCAAAATTGTCTGGGAGCCATATGCCGTCACTGGAAGAGCCATATATGGCTCGCGAGCCATAGGTTCCCGACCGCTGACCCAGACTGTCATGTCCTGACCCGACCTCCGTGACATCCGGAATCTGCCCTCTAGTGAGCCCTTATGTATAGTACACCCAGTATCGCCCTAGAACTGCTCATTTATGTCGTTACACAAGCAGGGAGAGCTGGGTCGGCGTGTATGTCTGTGTCGAACACACTTATTCTTCCTGCGTCGTCAGTCTCTCTCCACCGCTGGGTGGTTGCCGAGTGGGCACGTTGCTCGCTGTCGGCGGTGCTTGTGCTGGCAGGGCTTATGGGTTCGGCTCCATCTGCGTCGATGTGCACGATGATCCCGTCACCAGAGCGCTCGCAGCTCGTCCGCTGGCTGCATCACTTCACCGCCCTTGGCACCAGACACTGTTGATCCTTGTAGACTGTAGAGACAGCGGCTGTCGTCGTCCCCCCCCCCCTACTTGAAGAGAGTACTCAGGCAGTTGTCTATACGACTTCTTCTTGCTGCTCAGTGAACACGTTCAGGTCCTTGTCATTAGCTACCTGCTTCGCGCGAGCACCCTTGGTGCCTACCCCACCCTTCCTCCAGGAGGGCTCCTGCTGTGAGCTGCTTCAGGGAGTTGGCACTCAATGTAGGATAACATTCAGCGATTCAATACATAAGGGTAAATGTCGAATACTTTCAGCGATGCTCTGTCAGCGCCGAACTCAACACTCGGCGAACACATCGCCCCTCTCCTCTGCAAGGCTCGACACCCTTGGTTGATTTCGAGGACCATACCCTTGCCGTTGCTAGAGTGATTTGCGTGGTTTGGCTTCTTCGTTATATCCGCAAACTCTCACACCTCAGACTCCTCTTCTCACAACGGAGCGGAACTCCTTTGATTCCGCTCCTTGGCCTGTGATTGGTCGGTTCTGGTGTACACGTGTGTGTGTGTCTGTTTGTTCTAATTAATTTAAGTAATTTCCTAAGTCACATCAAGGCCTGGCTCCTGTCCCCTTCCTCCAGCCATCTCATGGCCTGTGGAAACAGATGCTTTCAATTGCCCCTAAGGGTAGTTATTCCAGTTTTACAACTTTCCGCAGCAATTAACCTGCAGATGTCTTTTGTGTGGACGAGGCAGAGGGGGGGGGGGCGGTCTTTTTGGCCTTTTATTGCCTCGAGGTGGGAGTGCACAGGTAGGCGGCACTGCATTCTTGTTTGGAAGTCGTTGAATCCGTATATAAAATAAAATCGATTGCATAAAAATAGGCAATATCACTCTTAATATAAATTCTTGGAAAAGGCATATATACAATAATGGACCAGTAGATACGCAGCAAACACTGGTATGCTTATCATCATCATTTACCATTTCCACCATCATTCTCATCTACCATCACCTTTATGATGACCATCATCATTGTTGTCCATCATAATTATAGTCATTGATATATTTTAGTCATGTTCAAATCGCCTTCATCGTTACTGTCGTACCTCCGATTAGCACGGAGGTACGATAGCATAGTTGGGTATGTATGGTAGGAAAGAAGTTCAACATACATACCTCGTCATCGTAATTGTTTTTAGATTGCGCTGTGCCATATTTGGCTTCACGCTACATTCCACATCTCAGTTGCATGTATCTGACACACACACACATTTCGATTTAAAGCTTTCGTGACTGCAGGGATTCATCTTCTTGGTTCTTTCGGTAAAGTCACGTAGAAGGGAAGTAATAAAATAATATTTTATTATGTTTTATTTTTATTATTTTATTACTTCCCTTCTACGTGACTTTACCGAAAGAACCAAGATGATGACACACACATGCTAATGTGTGTGTCAGATAGATGCAGCCTCACTGGTTGGCTCGGTTTGTTGGTGAGACGAGCATGCTGACATGAACACGTACGGCCCTCATTCCTGTCAGCAATGCCACAGGTACCTGATTGGCATTCAGATTTTGTATTATTATAGAAAATCTAACAACCACGTAACGTCCAGCACAAGCATTAGAAACATGAATATTCACATTATCCACAATGGGGGGTGTTAACTACCTCGCCTGGCATGCAGGATTGCGTGGGTTCCATCCCGACCCTGACGCCTATATATTTGGAGTTTGCATGTTTATCTCCTTGTGGTGGCGTGGATTTTTATCGGGGTCCTCTGGTTTTTCCCTCCACATTTAGAATTATGTGTTTAGATTATTTGGCTGCAATTAATTTCAACACGATAGGCCACTTCGTTGAGTTATAATTTTGTAGCCAGGTGGCTTCTGAAAAAGAGCAATATAGCTCAGTGGGCCTTACCTGGTGAAATAAAAAAAATAGTTCATAGTTTATTTTGCATTTGTTCATGGGAGAAGAACAATGCATCTGTCTCCATCACTCTCCTCTTTCAACACCATCGTCTTCTCTTGCTTTGATTAACATTCAAGTAGGAAGGCTTTAATTTCAGTTTAATCAGCACATATAAAAATATTGTAAAGGTTTCTGTTAAACGGTTCTGCAGTACAATGATTAAACATTTTAAATGTTAATATACACTTATAATGTGCCATTCCTAAAAGTATACATTGTAATTGTAGCACATTAGTGCATTGTTAGGATGAGTCCAGAGCAACATTTTAATATTTAACATGAAATATATTTTACGTTATTGTAAATGGCCCTTGTATTTCAGCTTCTGCATTTAACCAGGCAAAGATTTTAAATGAACACAAATATAAAAACACATGGGGAAATCAAACACATTGCGTACTTTACAGCAAAACTGATCATGTAACATTTACTTTGACTTGACGGTGCAATTTTGCTCAAATTGCAAGTTGCCCATTATGCACTCCTAGAAGGCTGTGGAGCTGATTGGATGTGTAATAAAATATATATATATATTTGCAGGTATTCAAATGCATCGTGTGCCTATGTTGTTTAATTCCCCCACAACAACGTTTATTGTTAATTCGTGCAAATGAACTAAGCGGTTGTAGAGATTCCATTAAAAAACACCTCGAAAACAATGAGGGACAAGGATACGCCTGCTTGAAGCCAGCTATTATCAGCATACATTCGAATGCAAGAATGAACGTTTCTGCTCTAACACACATATAATAAATTACGAGAATGTGAACAATTTTCCTGATTCAGTGTCACCCTTCTTCGTCCTTCCTGCAGTGAGCCCATCGCCTCCCCATGGGATTACTTTGCTCAACTCCCAAAAGGATGGCATGGTGCTCGGTTGGAAGGAGCCAACGTTCCTTGGAGGTGCCAGCGTGACGCACTACTACGTGGATTACTGCGAAGTGGTGGCGGGCGAAGCTGGGGAATGGAACGAGGCCAAAACGCAGTCTATGGGAGAGCGGGTGTGCAAGGTACGTACCATGTTGAACTTCTTTCGCACGCAACGGAACCAACCGTGCTAATCAGAGGTGCAGGAGAAGGACAACAAGCTAACACACACAAACGCAGTTCTAAACGAATGAGTTTTCAATCTAGATTTTAAAGTTCATAGCTCCAGTGGCTTCCTAATATCGGCCAGGGAGAGCGTTCAAGACGGCCGCAGAAACGCATTGACCGTCTTTGTTCGATGGTTAGCTAAAAGCCACTGCAGCGAGGATGACCGGAGTTCGCGTGATGGTTTATGTTCTTTGACAAGATCAGCAAGGTATTGTGGTTGATTTGTGGCAAGCACTTTGCGTGTAATGAGTGCATCCTTATAATGTATTCATTTGGCAACCGTAAGCCAATGCAGCTCAGTGAGCACCGGCCGAACATGGTCGGATCTTGCAGTACCCGTCACGACACGTGCCGAAGAATTGTGTACACGCTGCCTCTGGCTAATGTTGTTGCCAGACGTACCGTAGAGGAGTGAGTTGCAATAATCGAGCTTTGTTCATACTATGCCACCGTGTTGGCTATGTCACGATTCAACAGTGGTCGAATGTGCAAACCCTGCAGCTGCTTCCACGATAATTACATGATTCGCGAATACCATTTGCGATTAATTTCATAGCTTACACCTTATTGCTTCGACTTAAAATGTCAATGGAGTAATTTGTTAATTTTCAATATGACTTGTGGCACTATGCATTGTTGGAGATTAAGTCCACATATGTATCAATAACAGTGCCAAAAAAATGAAAAATAATGCAATAGGTGACGTTTAGACTTAAAACTTTCGTGACTGCAGGAATTTATATTCTTGGTTCTTTCGCTAAAGTCACGTAGATAGAAAACCAAAATAAAAATTAAAAGCAACAAACCCACGACGTTTTGATCGCATCCCAAGCGGTCTTCTTCAGGTGGAAGAAGACTGCTTGTGTTGCGATTTTTATTTTTGTTTTCTATCTACGTGACTTTACCGAAATAACCAAGAATATGAATAGGTGACGTTTTGAGCAATGGCCCTTTATTATGAATGTGAGTTTTTATCTTATTTCTACTTGCAGACTGTTGCCATCGCAGGATAGGTGTTCAGGAAATAAAATAATAAGTTGGCCTTACAGGTCGTTCCACTGCATTCAAATGCTGTGTAAAGTATTATACTGGGAACACAAATGTAACATCTGTGGTACAAAGTTAAAAATCAAATAAAATCTCGAATCGTATTGCCCTATCACCACCATGGGCTACAGTCAATATAAACCTTCTATGCTTTTCAGGATATAATTATGGATGGACATTGAGTCATTGTAATTCCCGTGCTTGATTTATAGAGAAATCACTCAATACAGATTGGACTTGACGTTTTCCCCACGTTATATTTTGTACAAGTGTATTCTTCCTAATTTTTTTGTATTCAAGATCGAGATTACATTCAAAAAGAATAAAGGAATCCTTCATGATGATGATGACGACGCATGTACATTTTCCTGATTCGATTTAGTTTTGAGTCTTTAGACCATTCTTGAAGGAGCAGCAATTGCACCTTACACGGAATGGAACACTCAAATAATATTGCAACAATAGTAATAATTTATACTCTGTTGTCACTTCACCGCTGAATGAAGGCCTCCCCATGTCATGTCACTCATGGGGGTTGTTTGACCATACTTCCCTACACTGGCCAATGTGAGTTGGTGAAGGCAGAGGGATGGCCGATTCAGATACCACTCAACACAATTGCTCGGTGTGTTTGGAAATCATACTAAGGCTTTCTCTTATACAGTTCAGCGCATTAATTACTGCACCACTGCTCCCCTAAAATGCTCAAAGTTAGATTGATTTTGAAATACTGTGTTCATCTTTGCGGTGTGACAGAATGGCTAATTGAAAGTTATTCTTGGTTAATCCTTAAAAAAATATTTTTTATTTTAGAATAAAAAAAACACTCCTTTAATTGTCTTCTCTCTCAAAATGTGTGAATTAGATGAGTATGATGAAAATGTAATTGCTGTAGCAAATCCAACAGTGCTAAACTTTATCTCTCAATCCAGTTATGTCACTGACATACCAAATCTCGTTTTTCTGTTGTTTGTCTTACATCCATCCGTTGACAGATGCTGCTTATTTACACATCATTTTATTGTATGTATTGTGTTTGCCATCAGATCAGTGGGCTGGAGGACAGCAAGGAATACCAGTTCCGCATACGAGCGGAGAACTTGGCGGGTGTGGGCGACGTCTCCAAGCCCAGCTCTGCCTTTCTATTCAAGGAGTGGAACTTCCCAGAACCAGGTATGGTCACCCAACTTAAGAAACAATCCTGCACAGTAAACCCTCTCTATCCGCGAGGGTTACGTTCTTGAAAACTCTCGCGAATGCGAAATTCACTAATGCAGGAAGTTTGTGCCAATGGGAAAAATGGGGTTACGTTCCTGGTACGAGTGAACATGGGGGAGGGGGGGCGATGGTAAATGTTTAATTACAATGACTACAATAATTAAGTAAGTACTGCTTTATGAAGAACATTTTATTTTTGAATTTTCTTTGATGATGATTTGACGACTATGGAGGTTGTGGTAATAGTGACAAATTCTGGATATGCAGGTGTTTGACAACACCTGCAAATCATGGGACCTCCTTTGCCAGTATCGTGTCTGCATTAACCACATATACTTGTGGTGAAAATACAAACAAAAACATGCTCTGACAGTATATGCATTGTCTTTTAAACTGATTGGTCCACACCAGAGACAGCTTTCTTTAGAGCCTAGTCTCAAACAGTGTTAGACCAGAGGACGCCAAAAGGCGAACAGCACAAAGACACGCTGTCTCTGGTGTGGACAAATCAGTTTCAAAGACAATGCATGTACTGTCAGAGCATGTTATTTGTTTGTATTTTCACCACAACTATATGTGGTTAATGCAGACGTGATTCCTTGCAAAAGGTTTTAGTTTGGTGTTTTAACATTTTACCACCTGTTTTGTTGTCAGAACAAAGGGGAAAACCATATTCTCAAACCCCTGCACAGTTATAATTTTATCACTCTTGCGGAGCGCTAGCCGCAGCACTTTCCCTAATTGCATTAACTTGTTTTTCATCAGCCTCACAGTCGACTCGTTTATACCGAAATGTGTTAACGAGGCGACTGTAAGTACGTATAAAGTAAAATAGCAAGTTCAGTGCGAGATTGCTGCGAGACTGAGGACTAAGCGTGCAGCCGAGGGAGCATGCCTAACCTTCGCAAAGAGTTTCAAATGTAAAAGTCTGTGCACACCTCCCGAGTGTCGGTGGTCTGGCACTATATACACTCGTGAACACTGGAGTCCGACGGGTCACAAATAGTGCATTAGTATACATTTAGTAACTCGCTAATATGCAAAACTCACGAATCCAGAACTCGCGCATCGCGAGGGTTTACCGTATAGCTCCTTGATTTGATTCCGGATTTGTACCGACGCGATTAACTCTACGAATTGAGCTCAAGCGAGTTCCTGTAGAAGTTGCCATCACATCCTAACAACATACAGCACAACCGCAGAAACCTACATAGCAGTAATGTTGTGTGTCGAAAACACGGAATAACGAATGCAGCTTGTAACAACACCGCTGGTTACGCGAAAGGCAATCATTTCTAAGATGGTGGGGCATGTGTTATCCATAGTGGATTATTTATATGTGGGTTTGTGCTCATTAAAATAGGGATAGGAAGGGCGGCTTGGGAGTGGTGTAAAGTGTGGATAGTCTGACCTCTTCCAATATGTCTGGCCAGCATGGAAGAGTAGGCCAAATACCCTGTAGAGGGGCTCTCTCCTGGAGGCCCCTTTCACCACAAGTGGTATACACCTTTGCCTTTTACATTGTTCTCAAGGCAAATCGCAATTAATTCACGTAGGCTTCTGGTGGGCATCTTGGACATCCACCTGGTTTCTGTCTTGACACAAGGTGCCCTAGATAATTGAACGTCAGCAGCTGTCTGCTTAAGCCAGTGAATACCTCCAGCTGTGTTCAATTGGACCCACTAAGGTTTATCCCCTGACCCTTCCTCTCAAACTGATCTTAAATCCCCACAATTATTCGCCACATCTTCACGTGCCAGCCAATTTGAGGCTGGTTATGCCTGTAGCACTGCTCCATATTCTGCACTACATATACTCACCGATGGTATAAACTAATTAATAGCCGTGAAAATCTATTCCCATTTGTCAACCGTGCCTCACATTGGCAACCGTGCCTCACATTTGGCAAAGGAAAATGACACCTGGCAATATTGTCCGGTGTCCTTGTGGATTGTGGCTGCACTGTGGCATTCACCAAGGATCCCATTTGAGAGGGCAGCGATGGGGCCAGGCCTAATTTTAAGGAGGGCACAACCTCTCCCTAGAATGGTAAACATTGCACCTAAAATCCTCGGTCTGGGGGCGTCACCAGTCTTGGCAATTTTTTTTTTCTGAAGGCAGAAGGCTGACATCACACCCCACTACACCTCCGTCACCTATTTTTTTTTACTTACCAAGTAAGGCCCACTGAGCTTTTTGGCTCTTTTTTCAAAAGCGACCTTGCCACAAATTATAGCTCAGAAAAGTCGCTTATCATGTGGAAAGTAGAGCAGACAAAACTCTGAATGCATGTTGATTCTAAGTGTGGAGGGGAAAAAAACAGAGGTCCCGAAGAAAAATCCACGTGACCACGGGGAGAACATGCTGACTCCAAATTTACAGACATCAGGGTCAGGATCGAACCGACGACCTCCTGTATACCAAGTAAGGTAGTTAACATCTTGCCACCACAGCATCCTGCCAGTAATGCCACTATTAGTACTACTGTCCAGTTGGTGCCCGATCAAGATAATACAAAAGTATTATGGCATATTTATCATCTGCTTGTAGGTTTAATTTAAGTTCTGTTTGAACAAGGGAAAGGTTATCAATTTTGTATCTGCCCATGAAGCAATTCAGTTACAAACTGATAAACGTTGGACTCAAGAGGTGATTGCACAATCTCTGAGCCTGTGCTCTGTCACTGTTAGTCCACGGTGCCATTACTGACATCTGACAGTGATTTTCATCTATGGGCCATGATTAAATAAAATTGGTCTCATCATTCGGGTTGCTGATTGACCTCCAGATACAAGCTTAAACCCAATGCCTCCAAATCACTTCCAGCCTATTACAACCTTAATAATTATATTTTACTAATCAGTACCGTGTTCTTAATACCTGCTTATAAATACATTTAGTATACGTATATAGCAGAAACAAAACATATAATTTCAGTGTGGTCATGGTGACATTTTCATCGATGTATAATTTTAAATACCAGCCACTGTGAATAGCAATGTGACATTGTTTCTTGTCGCAATAATTACAAGACTTTGACTTACTTGTCAAGTATATCCTAATAATACTGTTGAAAATAATGCAGCAGATGGTGGCTTTTTTAAAAGTCTAAAACAATCCACAAGAATTATTGAATGCCTTCACTGTACTTATTTGTGGTTATTGAAAATATTTAATTTGAACTACAATGCTCAAGCAGATGAGCTCATATTTCTAAGCATAAGCAAACGGTGGACTATAACATTTCTCAGAATTCGACATAACTGTGAGTCTAATGTTTTGTTTGTGACAGCAGGCAGGTAGAGACGATAACTTGCCCAACATCAGTGTGTTCGCTTTGTTCCAATGCGTAGGACTATACAAAGCATACGTCCTGCATTCAAAGTCATATTTTTTTTACATAATGTTCAACAAGGAATACACAAGGGATGACTAATCGATGCAATTCCTAAAGTAGCCAAGTAAAAAGCAAAAAAAGACACCATTGCATATGTGAAAATGTAATTAAATAAATAGGACATTTCTAACACTGCAGATGTGTATTGGATATTGGAATGCAATTATGCTAATGGTGGTGTTTGATGCCTGTAGAGGTCTCGCTAGAGATCACAATATACATGTTTTATTGACCTGCTGTTGACCGTTCATAAAACGTAGTATTGTCCATCATAAATGCCCATTTAAAAACGCTGATGTACATGTATATCACAATTCTGATTCTCATGTAAATAAATATGAATGTTTGGTGGGCACTTTGAGACAATTCAAAATAAGCAAGCTGTTGCAGCTACTGGAATCCACTGCTTGTAAATTGCGTGTGCAATCACTGTACAAACTATTCACTAAGGCGTTGTTAAGCTGCATACCCATAACCTTGGGATAGACCAAAAATAAATCTTTGGAATGGAATAATGTAAATAACACTTTTATGGTTGTGGTTAAATTGGCAGATGTATAATTTGAAAGCATATTTTATGTAAAGTCACAACCTGAAAGGCAGTCTGGGAGTGTACAGATCCTAGGTGTGGTTAATCATGCAAAGCAATGTAACATTTTTAAATGTTTGTGTTTCAAACATGCATGAGTGTGGACCATGATTCACTTTTATCTGTAAATAACCTCATCAAGTTCCACCTAATTAAATTAAAATTTTGAGGTAAATGTAGAAAGCATTGCATTAAAGAGTAAAACTGGACATTAAAATTCCCTCAAAGGCACGAGGAGTTGATATTAATTTAGACTTGCTCCCTTTAAGGCATTAAGGCCCTTACCAGATAACTCTGCATGTTGCTGGTAGTATGGTAAATAAGTTAGTCTTGTTTATCATCTAGCAATGCACTATTTCTTTCAATTATGCAAATTTTATGAAAAAGAAAAATATTTATCAAGTACAATCCTGTGAAATCAGGCCATTTAAAGTAGAATAAAACACGATCTGCATTGGAGTGTATTTTAGATTTGTAGAAAATACAAGGAGCACAGTGCACATCTTTAGGTGGCTATTTGGTGCATATTGTTTTAAAGGCATTGCATAAATTGGATGACTTCCACAACGCTTTCTCTGTCCTATTCACAGGATGGATTTAGGGCAGATTTAGCAAACCTGCCAGAGATCTGCCAAAATGTCTCCAACAATAAGGGACCATGGGATCAACAGCATTGATGTCATGATGTCAGCTCGTCCCAGTGCCAACAACCCATCAGAGTGTGGCATTGTAATTACACTGGGTTGGTGCATGTCCCCCAAAATGGGATTTTAACACCGCAGAATCTCACTTTCAATTGAGCCTGGGAAATGTATTGTTCGTGCTGTGAGTCGAAAGGTGCCAGTCCAAAGAGACCTGGAATCAAAGGTCACAGCATATTATTACTATTGCCATTGCTATGATTACTGTCTCCATGTCAGTGCATTCTCTGCTATTATCCATCTCTCTAAGTCTGCATGCACTGCTGGCACTGTAATCTCCATGAATGAGGTGATCTCTTTTCTCTCTATTTGCATCTGTGTTCTATTTTGTGTGCCTTCATCTCTGTAATATAACTAAATAGCAAGTTGCACGTCACTATTTAATTATGAATTGTAATCTGCATCTCATGATCCACCAGCCGAAAGCTGGGAGATCAATCCAGGGCTGGTGGATTTTGCAGGATGTGAAATAAAATTAACTTAATTTTAATAAATTGCTTTTCTACTTAATTTACTATTTTTCTTGGCTCCTTGTACCTAAACATTTCCCAGTAAAAACAGAATATTGAGAAACGAATGAACATAGTATTCAGTCTTTTGTTTTCTCATATAAATGTCCAAGAAATCTAACTTGCCTTTTTTCGAATTAATCGTATTATCTTTGTGTACCTGCTGTCTGTAATACAATTATGTTACTCGTCTTGTGTCTTCATGACAGTTTTACCACCTTTAAAATATGAAGTTTGCGTTTTAGACTGTGTGTAATTATCCAGCATTCACGTCCATATCGGCGAACAGACCATATGTAACAATGCAATATTCGAATTATTGTTAGCATTAATAACTACTTCTTTTTCAATATAGATCCCAATTTCTGAAACATATATAATGTTGGTGCTTTTCTTCTGTTTATCATGCTTCACCTGTTAAATTTTGATATAACTGACTTGTACTCGGAAAGTGTATACTTGTGCAAAACATGCGACGCAACTGGACAATGAATGTTATTGCGTGTTAATTTATCGGATAATTTTTTTGTCACCTTGCCCAGGCCCTCCCTTTGATGTGGTGTTCACCGAAGTTCGAGCTAAGTCTATCGTGGTGCTCTGGAAGGCCCCTCTCTACACGGGCAAGAGCCCCGTCACTGGGTTCAATGTGGAAATTACAGAGGACACTCTTGAGGAACACTGGCAGTTGGTCAACACCGACTTGGTGTCCAAAAGATACTACAAGGTATGCTGCCCCTGCAAGCAATCTTGCTTGCAAATCCAATGAGTATTTTCTCAGATCCACTTAAAATTAGAGTGCCCTCCAATGATGTTTGTACTGTATGTGTGTTTGTGAGTTGAGCTACAAATATTTTTATATTATTGTTTTCATATATTTTTTAAAATAGGTAATAGCCTCAGGTATTAATTCAGTAATGCTCATGTTTGTTATAATTATTCCAATGTATAATTTGTTGGAGTTGCACGGTGGTTAGTAAAGAGTATGCTTTTAGCGGAGTTTCAATCAATATTTCGTATCTGATTTTAAATTTGGTTGTGAGAATCGTTCATGAATTAACAAGTGAGCTGATACAATACTTATGTGGGACATGTAATGCCCAACACATGGCACTTTTATTTGTTTGGCTATGTTGACATACTGTACATATGGCCAGCTCATTATGTGGCCGTCCACAAAAATTTATGAAGAAGCACTGTCTATTTTTTTTACTGCATCGTGGTTATCAGCCGTGGTCTATCTATGGAATATTTCACGTCCGCTGGACAGTGGACAGTGCACATTGTTACAATTCACACACCTGCAGTTATAACCAGGGTGGCCTGCTGGATTCTTATCTCAAACCTTGACAACAATCAGCGAACACGCTACCAATGGGCCGTACCACCGCCCTTGAAAGTTGAATCCAGAGAACATTGAGCCAACACCTCTTGGATCCTTGAATCAGGTCTGTGTAGTCCCCTGTGATCATGCCAGATTTTCATGCATGTTAATGGCCTCAGCCTGGTCACCAATGACTGTCCAAAACAAATAATTGTATTACATTTGGTTGTCCCACTAATTTTGTCAAAAGTCAAGATTTAAGAATTTTAACATCAGTTTTACTGCCATGCTGCAAATATTTATCTATAGCAGAGAATTTAGGAAAGTGCTGTGCCCCCTTTTTGTTGGTAAAAAAGGGTAATTTCAAGGTATCTCAGTAGTACTGTGATATGTCCTTCTTTATGTCATTCTCTAATTATATATATGTGCTGCTCTGTGAGAATTCCAAATGAACACTGTTTTGTGACATGATGCTGAGAGCACAATTTGAAGGAAATTGATATAAAGACAAAAACATCATAAAATTGATGTGAAGATACCAGCAGGTACATGCAGCATTTCCCCATCTGAACTCGTCTCCCAATATGCAATTTGTTTTAAGAGACAGCCAATTAAATAAACGGGTGGTGGATGCATGACCAGTGTAGTTTTACCATTGGTCTTAGTTGCGTTGTTTTTGATGCGTGCACAGGTGAAAAACTTGGAGGAGGGCAAGGCCTATCGGTTTAGAGTCAATGCCGTGAACGCGTCCGGAGCTGGCAAGTACTCAGTCCACTCAGACCCTGTGGTGGCAGCCACGCCAGTTGGTAAGTGTTTGCTAAAGCGTGCTTGACCACACAATAATTTATAGCCACAATAATACTCACTAATGACTCCAGCAATATTGATAGTGTGGAATGGCTGTATGAATCACATATGTAATTGGAGATCAAATGGGTGGGGTGAGCGTTTAATCTGCGGCGTACATGTTGAACAGTGTTTGAACAAAGACAGATGGGTAAGCACTGTTTTGTTAAATATTCTGAGCCGCCCAAATATATAGCACATTATTATTCTTTTTATAATGTCACCATTGATGGAATACAAACCCAAGAACTACTTACGTGAGAAAAAAAAGTCACAAACTAATTAAATTTTTGCTATTCCGCTCAGGGAATATCTTGATTGTGCAAGTCAATAATTGTTTGTTAAAACGATTGTTTAATGGCACGTGAAATACTATTTGGGTAGGTCTTAATAAATTAATAATTATTCCCGTTATTTTTTTTTATAAATAAGAAGTCCTCATCACTTTCCAAAGTTCATAGATCTCGCCAGCAGGATACAGACTCGGAATCGACGAGCATAATACAGGGACTAATAAACCACAGAAGGACACTCAAAGTTGCTCCAAACATCCGTGATTTAATAAAGTATAAAAAAAATATTAACTGACATTTCAGATTAACCACCCGGCACTCCACTACAACAAATTGACGCACAGTGTGAAGAGAAATCTCACCTGCCCAACCGGCCAACACAAACGCACACGACACACACAATGCACACAAACTCACACAGACTCACAAAAACACATACAACGCACACACGGTAGAGGCAAGATGTCGACGTCGGAGTTCATTCCAAGCCGACGTTGTAAGGCTCTAATATGTACCTTCAGTGAGATGGTTAGCTGATGGATGGAAGGCTGATTGATGGTGCTCAGTTTTCCGTCCTTCCCCGCACCTCTGATTAGCACGGTTGGCTATCTACGGCGCGAAAGAAGTTTCACATACATATACATACATGGTATTGTAGGTGCTGCAGAGAACTGTCAGCGAGGCCAGATCTTCTCCCTTGCTAAGTACCTTCGGTGCCTTAGTGACCCACCAGTCTCTCTGCCTGCCGGACTTAGGATCACAAGCACCTCAGAAGGCTGCAGTTGGCCGCTTGAGCCCCAACTGGACTGATGGTTGACCGTTGTGCCTTTCTTCGGCTCAGAGCACCTTTCAGCGTTGCTCCCGGAGTCACACATGAAGATTATGAGATTCTTTGGTTACACTTTGTTACACTTTGTGCGTCTTTCACAGTGGCATGCCAGAGTCACCCTCCACTGCAATAGCTTGACAAAGTTTAATATATAAGCAATGTATCCTTGATGCAAAGACTAAATTGTGTGCTCTAGACAGTAGTTTAAATAAGGTGTGTTGACTTCAACCCAGTAGTATATTTAATTTTATATTTATCTTTTTACTTTCCCTGGTAAGGAGAAGATGCAATATAGGTATCTTTACAACAACCAATACATGGATCAACACACCCTGATCATTATTTATGATGCGCCTTAAGTTTGCATGCACCTCCATCAATCTCGTGTTTTGCATCGCATGCAAATGCTGTAGCCTCCACTACATTGAAAAAAAAAATGTTGGCAAACGTCTTAGAGATAGATTCGCCCAACATCTTGTCAGCTCGCTGTGAAAACTTGGTCCAAACCAGTGTCACATCAACAGTGGGAGCCACAGGCCCAGTGACATGTAGGGTACATGGCCTTGTCTTGATTTTTGGTGATAATGAGGCCATACATAGGACAGACGACCGCTTCATATTCAAACTGAATATCATTCAGCCAACTGTATGAAATGAATGCCTCACATTGACTTAAAACATGTATTGAGCGCGAGCTAAACCTTATCAATACACGTTTGTGTGCAGGCCACATTTCATTTCTCACTAAAATTGGAAAGTAAGAGCTAAAAAGACAAAAAAAGACAAAATCAGTAAATAAAAATATATCCTGTTAATTCTTCTACTCAGCTTGCAAGGTTTAGGAATTTCAAACATTTCAAAGCCCATTTGGATCATAACATTTCTTGAGATATTATTTGATCCTGATGACATGATAATTAAGACTGAAGAATGAGTCACTTACGAGGTAATGTGAATTAATATTCTGCTTTAAGTAGATACCACGCTGAAACATTGTTACCCAAAATTAAATGTGCCAGCAACATTTTATATATATGTAGTCATACATTTTTGATGATTTAAAGGATTGTCTGTTGCTCAAAATCTTCGAAAAGGTAACTATTTTCACATGCCAATTTTTTTCTTTTTTTTCTTCAGAAAACATGTTTTTAGTTATCATTAGATCCATGGTGTAGAGTGCAGTCTAAAGCTATGAGTCAGTCCACATCTTTAGTGTCTATTTTTACGGGGTGCCACGGTGGCGAGATGTTAACTACCTCTTCTGGTATGCAGGTGTTCATCGGTTCAATCCCAACCCTGATGCGTGTTTATTTATAATATACATGTTCTCCCTGAAGTCACCTGGATTTTTATATGGCTCCCCCAGGTTTTCCCTGCACATTTAGAAAAATGGCTGCTTTAAATTTCCACATTATAAGCCACTATGTTGAGCTATCATTTGTGGCCAGGTTATGGTAACATAAAAAATAGTTTAGTTTTAGTTAAATTTACGTGCTATAAAGATGGGCCATTGCCCAAAACATCACCTATTATATATTGTTTCCTTGAAGGCAGTGGTATTGATGAAAGTATTCAGATTTTGTCATTTTTGCTTGTGCACCGATGCCACTGCAGTGTAACTTAATAAGTAAATATAATTGCGTTTTTCTTTGTATTGTTAAAACTGTTTATGATACTATAACATATAATCAACTTTGTGGAATTTTCGTGCATACAGATATGTTGCAAGTTGTATATATAGCTAACCAATAATGTCATCATGCATTAAAAAAATCTAGCCAGTAAGGTTGCATTTTTCAGTTTGAAACAGCTTTGAATTGTTAATATCCACAGCACACGTGAATGGCTTTGTGTATTAAATTAAATATTGGCATTCTACGCTTATAATACATGTATTCCTGACTTTCTGGGTTTACATGCGTGCGTATAAATGTTAATTTAATTAATTACACAGTGCTAGTGATTTTTCTTTAAACTTATTTTCTTCATGAGGAAAAAATGGGCCCTCTTGGTTAATTTGAAAAGGAATCCTTAAATGATATTCTAGTTCTGTAGCACGTGTCGGGAGTATTTGCTACATTCGACATCAATTGTAGCATTTAATCTATGACAATCAATATATGTGGCAGTTTGTTATGGTTCAAATTATTTGATAATAAGACATTAAAAGCGCAGATAATCAGAAACATTGTATGTTTGAAACAATATCAGTGTTTCATTCTAAAACATTATTCTACCATTCACATGCATATTTATTATTTTCATGCAATAATTTGTCTTGCCTCATTTTCGTATTTCAACCGTCAATTGTTAAAACCAGAGAACATCACCTGGTTCTATAAGTGGTTGTATTTATGTCAACATTAGAAGGTTATCTGGGAATATGTGAACAGTGCAAAAAGCAGATGGAATTTCGCAGAAGGAATATCACTGCTGCCTCGCTGGGTTTGTATGTCAGTACCTTTGGCAGTGCAAATCAGATCAGGAGCTAGCTCGGTATACGTGTCAGGACCCCACAGGGCCCCAGCTCTATTTATTACATTCTATGTAGGTCAGAGCTTAAGTTACCAACACCCACTGTCAAAATTACACGATTGATTATATCGATTACATGAGTATATATGGATGTGTTTGTCAAAAACGGTGAGGGCTGTTTGAAAAGTTCGAAGCATGGACTTGAAGATGTTATGGCAGGGGCTCAAATTGTCACCCGACACAACCAAAATTGTCACCCAACACAAGCAAATAAATAAAGTTGTCACGTGAACAAACGTGCCAATTTTCTTCTTCTAAAATTGAAACTAAATTATTAGATGATGTGAACACAGCATTGTTGATAACTTAATTTATTTGGCTGTGTCGGGTGGAGGGGGGTAAATGACACACATTGGCATTTTGCTCGTGCGATCCGACTCGAAAAAAATATATTGTGAATTTGAAGCATGAATTTTTCAAATATGTATACTCACTCATGTGTTTCGCGTAAAATCAGCTTTCTACCTTCACCAGATGCTAGCAAGACTTGAGCTTTTATAACAGTCCTTGTAAACCTGAGTTTATTTAAGTATTTAGTCGTTTACATATTGCATATTTCACATCAACTGTAAATGTAAAACGTAATTGAACTATGTTAATGGTCTCATTCTTTCCGCTAAATCCACAAATGTACGATATACACATATATAATTAATAATTAGAGGTTTTCCGTGTTTTTTATTTCCTTCCAGAGCATCACTCAATCGAATATTTGTAATTTAGTTATTTCCATGTATACCCGTACGTTACATGTGACATTACTTTTACAATTTGAAACTTACGATTCCATTGTGAACCTGCTAAATCTCACGTTTAATTGTGAGACAATAATGTTTGCCACCAGAAGGAAACCTTTCTAAAAGCGTTGAAAAAATTATTGCACAATTTTGTTTCACATTTAATAAAAAAAATAATTCGTGTCACCTAAAGGCCAGTAGTAAAGTTTATTTTAATAGTTAATTACAATCATAATCATTGCATTTTCATTGTTTAAAAAAAAATTCTGCTGCAGTATGGTATTTTTCATAAGAATATGTTATTTTGTGATAATATGTTTCTTACATTGTACTATTATAGTACATTATGCCATGATTCACTCTGAGGCAGAAGGTTCAGTTGGCGAAGAGTATTACTGTAATGTGGGTGTTGTAGAGTTTTGTGTTACCAGCGCAGTAGCATTCAACAATCATCACTGAGGGGTAGCTTCCACTGACCCTAATCCCTCACCCATGTGCATTACTCCATCACACTCCCAGGGAGACATTACCACAAAGGTCAGGCCTTATAAACCACTTAGGACGAGCACAATGATGCATTGAGTGCCGACTCTCCTACAAGAATTATTCTCTACCAGACTATCCATGCCAATCTAAAACTCAGATGGATAAGCCCCAGAGTGACTGTTTGCTTCCCAATGAGAAGGAATGACCAGGGCTTTGCCCAACATTTGGCAGAGCACAGCAGTTATAACATAATACCTTTCAAAACTCTGACTTAACAACAATATGTGTGATGACTTGATTTTTACTGCAAATGTTGGTGAATGAATACATGTGCAAAAGAGTTATTCAAATCCATACATTAATATATTTCCATAACTTTGGAAGCATGGTAGTGCAGGGGTTATTGCACTGTGCTCTGAATCCGATTACCTGAATTCATTTCTCGGCTACAAATAACACCAACCCGCAGTGACCAGGACGGTGAAGTGTGGTTAAACAACCCCCTGCCTGACATAAACGATTAAGACAAATTATATGGCATGAGGTAGGCCTTCATCCAGCAGTGGATTTACACAGGGCGGTAAACTATTATGTATAATGTTAGCAATAATATTTAATTTAGTTGTTTTCATTTATTTTATTTTATTAATTGTTTTACCTACGTGACTTTACTGAAAAAACCCAAAGAGTATGAATCCTTGCAGTCATGAAAGCTTCAAATTTAGAATTATTGCAGAAGTGTTGCATAACATGAACCTGATTGTTTCACCAATACAGGCAGTCCCCGACCTATGAATGGGGTCCGTTCCTGAAACCCATTCGTAAGTCGAACGGTTCGTAAGTCAGAAAGAAATAATGTACTGTATGTAAATGCACATACGGTCACTTATTAAATATGTCATGGTTCACCATGAAAGGGAAGCATTGTTAAACTCGTAAATAATAATAATAAATATTTTACATTTGCATGTAACATTGTTAATAGTTATTGGATTCGGTTCACAAGTGAGAGTTCATGTTCTCAAATCACGTAGTAAAAAAAAAACAGATATCTTATGGAAGCTCATTCATAAGTGTGGACGTGTGGAAATCGGGCAATCGTAGGTCTGAACCTGCCTGAACTGTACTTGGATAATTTATAAAGTAATTGTGAAAGGGAATGATATTCACAAAGAGGCCATACAGAACATATTACATTTTAATAGAAAGTAAGAGTCATGTTCTTTGGCATGTAAATGTCATGGGGTATGTCGTAATGATGTTTCCATGTGGACATAGTCCATTCTGTGGTCAACTGTAAATAATTGTTATTCGTGTGTACTCATGGCCCAGCGACAACGTTATGTATAAATATGTGCAATTAGAAATATCACCGACTTCCACATTGACACTGTAGAATTGAACTAAAATAAATACTTTGAAAACTTCCGAGATAATAAGCCAAATTTGTGTACCAGATTCATGAATAAAATTATGCGTGTTGGCTCTTTCATCTCAAATGCATGTCAAATTTAAAGCAAATGCAAGCCTCCATTGGAGTACCCTCTTTTCTATCCTGCATGTACTCATTAGTACCTTGGGTTGTTTCCGGAGGGAATTTTTTTTTAATGTTGTGAACAAACACCAGCTGCAAATTATAACATTCCATTTCCAAAGGCAGGACGTAGATTTCGCTGTCATTTACATACAAAATACAATTATATTTTGCCAGTGTTTTCTGATTCCCATTTCAGCTGTAACAAATTCAACCTTTTGACTGGATGATGCTCATTGTTTGATACCGATTGACACAGATACACAGACGATGTCAGCGCTGTGTTGGGCGGTCGGTGGGTGGGGGGTTGAAGCAGTATCGTCAGCATTTGAAAATGAGTCACAGCTTTCATGTACACTCACAGCATGAGGTGTGCACTGTGCAAACCACATGCTCAAGCAGAACAGCTGGTCCTGGGATTTTACGAACTCGTGTTTGTTGCTCTGGCCCTCCTCGCGTTGCTCTCTGTCTGTGGCTTCATTTTTATTACAAACAAATAAAGAGAGAAAATGGTTCACGCAATTTACTGTGAACCCGGCAATCCATGTTTGATTCCCAGCCACCAACTTACGCTGACCAGCATGGTGAAGTATGATCAAACAGCCCTGATGACCAATCCAATAATTTGGCGATGCCTTCATCCAGCAGTGGATTGACAAAAGCCTATAAAATATTATTTTATTCCATGATTATTATTTAAAAAATACCGGCTGGTTTCAATAAAAAAATAATACAACTTGAATGCACGTATATTTAATTTTAGTTGTGTCTTTGTTGTTGTTGCAGGATCTAGGGATGCACAGCTACAGATCGATGATGATGGCAACATCTACCTGGAGTATACCTGTGAGGCTGCCACTGAAGCATCCAGTTTCTCTTGGTCCAAGAATTACCACGAGCTTCCAGAAAACAAAGTGACCCCAGAAACTCTCGGACAAACGTGAGCCTTCGTCTTGGAAATGCTTCACAAATCCTATCCTCGGCATTCAGTGTGGTATAAGCGCAGCACATGGTAAATGTTATCACAGCATTGCAGAAAATGCCCTTTCATCAGCTGTTGATTCTATTAGATGGAACATTCAACAGAGTGAAAAAAAGTGAAATATGTACAGAGAGACGTTTCTCGAAGCATAGAAATTTACACAAGACAATTAAGTTTAGAAAAAATGAAAATGTCACACTTGAATGATCTTACTCGAGCAAACACGTTATCATCATTCTCATACGTTATTTTTGGTATATTTTAGAACAAAGTTGTTCTTCAACAACCCTACAATGGACGACCTAGGGAACTACTCCTGCGTGGTCACTGCGACAGACGGCTACGCAACAAGCTACAATCTCACAGAGGACGGTAAGGGAAAGGTTCGGAGTGTGTACGGATCTTTGCATATGTATGTGTTACAGCCCAGTTTGACCAAACTTCACTACACTGGTCAGTGTGTGGTGGTGATGAAGGGTGGACACAGAGCTGCCTCCTACCCACAACGCCTACTGAACCTGCTTAATGTGCGGTGGTCACCCATTCAAGCTCGTGAGGTCTGACAGGATCTGACACAGTACAGATGTCAAATTCACTTAATTCAAATTAATAAAATATTCCTGGGCTGTTACCGCGTACCTACTACCGCCAAACAATGTATGCATTCCAAGTCTCTACAGAGCTACATCACAGGACTCCATTATGCATGTTTGTGGAAACTTTCCATAATTGTCGACTGCTCCCCAAACCCTGCCCACTTTTGGGCATTCCATAATTGTGCCATGAATAGTACCAGCATGATCCCAATTTTGTTTGGAATTCATCACACGTTGATATCAAATTGAAGAGTGTTTCTAAATGTATGCAGAGCCTGCCATTAATTTAGATAAAAAATGAGTGTAATGCCGCTATAAATAGCTACATGAATCGGCCCATCATTTCTACATCAACATATGTTTATTATTCCAAATTAACAAGTTATGGTTTGGGAGATGCATGCAATATATTGCTTATTTGTGCTAAAAATGCATAAGTAGAGTAAAGAATTACTTACAATTGAATGCTGAAATGGTTATTTATTTGCAGATACAGATAACATTAAATTATATTACCTAGATTAAATATATACAATTAGAATGATTGAGATAATTATGGTTGTAAAATGAATGTCAAATGAATATAATTACAATTTCTGCATTAAGAAATAATAATTAGTAAATTGTGCAATGTATTGGGAATAATTGGCTAATCATGCTAAAGGACAGCCATGGATAGTTGATTGATGTATAACATTGTTCTATTTTTTTTGCAGAACTAAAGCGTGCTCTGGAGACAAGCCAAAAGCTAAAATATCCCAGTAAGTTTGTTTCATAAATGAAATAGATCTATACCAATCCATAAATTACACTAAAATACATAGGCACATGTAGTATATGGTGAACATACTTCAATCTTTCTATCCACATTAAAATAAAACTGAATATTGGCAAAGGAAGTGGAACTTAATCAGTGACTTGCAAAATTGTCCAAATACTGTTACGTAATCCTTCATTTAATGTGGTAGATGCTTTCTTGAAAAGTACCACAAACCAAGGAATTACTGTGCGTGTATACATTACAGGGCATAATTATATAAAAACAATAGAAATGTGAATCACATTTGCACTATAAAATTAGCTTCCAATGATCCCATGACGGGACAACGAACTGAGATTAGGGTACGCTGCCTACTGTATCATTCCCCGCATATACCCAGAATTTCCATCCCGCTCAACCGGGCAGCTCAAGAAGGTCGTTCAGTGTCGACCTCTCAGAAGCTGCGCATCATAATGGTGCGCGTTCCGCGTTGTGTGAAAAGTGTTCCCTTATCAAAGAACCATGTTATGGCGAAAAACGCGTTGTGTGAAAACGCATTAAGCGAGGACTCGCTGTACTGGAGTGTGCAGTGATAATGTTTCCCAGTTCTATTAAACTCTGCGTTGTTTAAATTGCTGAATCCCAGCCAATCATCCTGCTCAGTGGCACATAAACACATAGCAAAGCTCTTTTTGAATAGGCTGTGAAATAAATGTTATTGCCATTTACTCCTTTTTTCCCAAGCAGGTAGCTACTGAAAAATAACTACAGTCATATATCAGTGGGGCTTACCTCGTAAAAGAAAAATATAGTTTACGTGGTTAATGCACACATGATTCCTTGCAAAACGTTTCAGTTTGGTGTTTTAGCATCTTAACACCTGTTTTGTTGCCATGAAGGGTAAAATCTATTTTAATATTCCGAAAGTTTAATTGTTAAGCTTAGTTTTTATGTTGTCTTGCTTCACATATTAATGTGATGGGACGACTTTATCTGTTATTGAATGTTAATTTGTAAGCAATATTTTCAGTTTTGCAGCATATATAATTATTAATTGCAAAGGTAATATAACTTTGAGCATAACATGCACATGTTGTAACGTTAGACATTTGTTATTGTCATTTTTAAATGACAACTTTCGTAATTATTTTTTGGGTCAGATTAGGACAAATTAGCAATCTAAATATTGGTTTCAAAAGCATACGTATTCAATCGTTGACAACCTCGTTCTGTTGTTTTCGAATAAGTTTAGATATTGCCATCTACATCCATGTGTGGGTGTGCTTTTGATGTCATTCTGTAAATAATTCTGAGACATTTTCGCACTAAAAAAGTTTCCTGTGGGGCTGAGGATCATTAGTAGTCTAGATGTGTTCGTTAGACAAGCATGGCTTAAGAATACAACACACCTTTGGCTGGTCAGGTCATATCGGGTCAGGACTTGCAGGAAAGAAGCCTTGCTATCATGACACAAACGGACACAGCTGCACCTCTTCGCTGTTTATCTGAACAAAAACATTAGCATGCTGGTGTATGTTGTGGTAATCCATCTTAAGAATTCAGTTTGTCCTTTTTTAGTTCAAACCTCAACTTTGCAACAAGGCTAAAATGCTTAGAGTTTTTATTTTATTTAGCATTGCCATATAGTACTTATTTCCTGAAAAAGAAACATAATGAAAATCTGATTTAAGAACATTTTGGTTGGAAATACTGTACGTGTAACACATATGTTTATGTATGATTGATTTAAGCTTTTTTTCTCACACATATATAGCCACTGTGTTGTATTTGGTTAGTTTATCATTAGGATACTCAGTTAGGCAGTGTCTTGGATAATTTAATTATGATAATGTTCAGCACAAATGCAGATGTACTGCAATATATTCAAATCTAGGTCAGGGCAGTATAGGGTGGCAAATATTTGTTATGTTATTTGGAAACAATTGAGAGATGTTGTTTATTTAATTACACTACGTAAAAATTATAATATTGTATTTAATTACTACAGGCACAAAACAAAGTTTGAAGTGTGAAAAAAGAACATAATGTTACCTTCCATAATGAAATGTGATCTTTAATTCGGGGTTTGTGGGAAGTATGATAAATTTAGGGTGCCATGGTGGTGATATGTTAACGACCTGGCCTGGTATGCAGAAGGTAGCGGGTTTGATCCCGATTCCAACCCTGACGCCTGTATATTTGGATTTTGCGTGTCTCTCTCCCTGTGGTCACATGGAATTTTCTCCAGCTCCTCCGGTTTATCCCTCCACATTTTTAAACATGCTTTTAGAGTATGTGTCTGGTATACATTTCTACATGATAAGCCACTTCATTCAGCTATTATTTGTGGCCAGGTCGCTTCTGAAAAATAGCTATGTAGCTCAGTGGGCCTTACCTGGTAAAATAAAACAAATGTCTAAATCGTAGTTAATGCTATTGGTCATCTTTGAAAATGTAGCCAAATGTGTACAGTGTGGTAAGAGTGTGCCCTATTCAAACAGCCATACCCCTGAGGTCCGAGTTGGCTGTGGAGCTACTGGAGAAAGGGCAAGTGCGGTTGTGGATGCAGGCACGGCATCTGTCACCGACGTGTGAGCTGAAATTCATCGTCAATCAAAGGGACGTTTCCAAAAACGAGGTAATGCAAACCCAAGCATTGACAATAACATCCCGTCCAGCACGATATGAGTCGATGGACGTTCATTCTCATCTCCATATATTTTCTGACAATAAAGAGTGCACTTTAACAGGTACAAGGATAATATATTGTATTCCTCTAATATATTTTGTTGTTGTCTTTCTCAGTCTTTATAACATGTATACTTTAATGACAAAAAACATTCGCCAATGACACTGTGTGTGGCCTTAAGAGGAGAAATATATAATCGGTGACCTTCCAGCAATGGCCCTTCTTCATCGCACATGGTGACGGCAACATGAATGTCCCTGTTAAAATGATTAACGTGGGCAGAAAGTGGAATAAATAAGATGCTAAAAGGAGGTTTTAAATGTAATAATCAAATAATGAATAATTTTCTATTATATTATTACAAATGCGTAAGGGTTACCGACACATCCGGCTTTTAGTTAACAGTTCTTGAAAGGGATATTTACAACCCTCGTGATTAATACATTACTTATGAACGTTCAAACAGTCTGGTTATCAATTCTCTAATAAATAGCAATCTGTGGCATATTTGAATATGCTATTGGGCAATGAATAATGTATACCGAGTTATACTGCTATTATGCTGGATATGCGGTGTTGCAATGTGGAATGGATCAAGGGATATGACGTCTCTAATGAAATTGTCAATCTCGCTTATTTCAAAGATACACGATGTACGTTGCTCAAACCTGGAGCAAACGTAACCCACTGCCATTGATACTTACGAAGTACAAATGTTATCTCACCAAAATATCAATAAAAATCAAACAATACTTGCATCTTTCTAGATTAAACATTAAAGGAGTATTTGTGGATGGTGGGTATATCTAAGACCAACAAAACTTAACTATTTATCCACAAATGTTCACCTATGGACTTCCAAAGAAAACAACTTGGCATACAGGATTACAGGATTAAGACAAAAGATGCGCAATAAGCAATTACATTTTCGCGAGGAATTTGATAGGGTGCCACGATGGCGAGATGTTAACTACCTGGCCTTGTATGCAGGAAGCGTGGGTTCAATCCCGACCCTGACGCCTGTATATTTGGAAGTTTGCATGTCTTTCTCCCCGTGGTCCCGTGGATTTTTCTCCAGGTCCTCAAATTGTTCCCTCCACATTTAGAAACATGACTTTATAATATTTGGCTGCTATCAATTTGCACGTGATAAACCACTTCGTTGAACTATTATTTGTGGCCAGGTCACTTCTGAAAAAGAGTTATGTAGCTCAGTGAGCCTTACTGAGTAAAATAAAAAAAATTGTTTGATGTAACTTGAGAAATTAAAATGTTACAAAGGTAACAAAGTTGTGACTTTAAAAAAGTGATTTTCTAGTGATTGCACGCTTGAGATGTACAGCTAATTTAATTTGTAAATGTATTCAAGTAAACATGGAGATTATTTGCATTTGAAAGATGATTTTCATACTATTTTCACATCTTAACATCTTATTAGCCACTCATTATACTTAAAAGCCTCCCAAATATTAAAGATCCTGTGCCTCTGCGGGCCTGCTCGTAAATATGATGAACTTCTTTGGCGCTGTACGTAGCAGACCGTGCTAATCGAAGGTGCTTAACATGTGATTTGTGTAGAAGTACAAGATTCATGTGGACCGCAGCACGGGCATGATCGAGATGATTATAGACCATCTTTCAGCTGTGGATGAGGGCACTTACACTGTCCAGCTCAAGGATGGGAAGGCGGCAAAACAATCCAGCCTCGTTCTCATCGGAGACGGTGAGAGAGGGTCCCTGTGCACAACCTGTGGACACATACACATGAAACGTGTATGAAAGTAGCCATCTGACTTGCTTTACGTTTACACTTTTGGATCAAATTATTCGGTGTGTGTCAGTTGAAATTGTGCATATTTTCCTTCGACAATAATTTGACGTCACTGTTATTTTGCAACTACTATTATTACGTTCACATTATTGCACAGTTGTTAGTTGCAATCATTTGAGCACTTCAAGCAAAAAAGGGAAAACAGGCCAGTTAGCAACCAAGGACTGGAGAATGTTTCGCAGTGAGGCCTCCTCCATACAGTCCTAAGTACACTCAGATGGATGTAGAGCTTCGATGTGTCATCCTCGCAGCGGCCTTTGGCTAACCATCATACAAAGACGGCCACTGCATCACGCGCTTTCAAATGCACTTCTGCGGCTGTCTGGAATCCTCTTCCTTCCAATATTAGGAAACCACTGGAGCTATTGAACTTTAAAATCTGGATTGAAAACACATTTCTTCAGAACTGCTTTTCATGTTTAGTTTGTTGTCCTTCACCCGTACCTCTGTCGGGTGTAAAAGAAGTTCAGCTTACATGCATGATGTCCCACGTTCTTGCTCCATATACTGGGAGCATCTTCGGGAACTAAACTGAATTATTATGAAGCTCTCAGCACGTGGAGCGAAACCTCGGACATCGTGTTGAACAGATTGTAGCGGTAAATCTAAACATACGTTAGAGAGCACCACAACCGCGAGAAACATACACAGTATTATTACCCAGGCAGACAGTTTGGGCCGCGTCACCCATGAATATTAGTCTATAGCACAATACTGACAATCATCGACTTACGAACGAATTCTGTTCCTGAGACCCGTTCGTAAGTCAAGTACTACATGCAGTGGCACCGAACTGTGATATCGACATTCGAATCCTCAGCTCTGAAGAACATTCACGAATTAATTGGTAAAATTACTTGCCAGCCTAATGGATAGAATAGGCGTTTGACAGGCGTATACGTGGAAGGATCTGTGTCAAGGCTGAGAGAATTCATAACTTGCAGGAGTTTGTCGGAAAAAAAACATCTTTCATCTCATTACCCAGCTCAGGAACGTGCAAGCGCTGATCACAAAATCGAAGAAGAAAATATCACAAGTTTACATGTATCCTTTAAACCTAACATTAATATGTGCATTTTGATATTTCACCTTCAGAATGTTTTAAATGTTCCCACGTGTACTGGTTGGCAGGTCTGCATTTTGTAGGGATAACTTTTTGACTTGCATGGCTTGTCATTTATATTCATATCAAGGTAGTAAATTTCTGTGTCTAGAGTCAATCATTATTATGCATGTTTAACATTGTCATTATTAACCGAGCTAATTACAGACTGGATAAACTTAAAAATACAAATATAAGCCTCAAGGCAGAATGCCCTTTCAACCCCATTGCTCAAAAGGTATTGACTACATTGGTCTTAATTGTAAATGCACAATTGCAAACACAATGTACAATTAATATTTTGCCAAAGTCATTACAACTTGTGTTGATCATATGTATTTCACTTAAAGAGCTGTGGAATTTCCACCAGTGCATCAATCGGTATTATCACTTCTCTAATGCATTGAGAACCATTGAAAATATAAACACTGCAACGGCAAGTAAATGATGGTTACATTGAAAAATCACCCCGAGGAAACTTCTCACAAGCATTTGTATAACGACATGTGCAACACTCTGCACTTTGCTGCTTAGCATGCTGAGGAAATTGTACAAAAAATATAGATCGTAAGCTCTGTTATTATTATTCCACAAACACGGATGACTACAAAAGGTGAAATGATTAAACTCCCTGGTGATTTGATGACTTGTCACGATTCAAGAACATGATTCGATTGAAGACTATTTTTGTTAATCCTTGTGGAGAATGTATAGCGGCCACTAGTGGCTGCAGGGGGTCACATAAACCCATTACATACAAGTCATAACATGAAAGAAAAAAAATTAACGCTTGCTAATTTCATGGCTGCATCATATAATCAATATTTATTGACGAAAGTGTACACATACCAGGCATACAATAACAGAATAAACACATTTAGGTATCTTACAGTATCAAGTTTAAGCACCTTTACCATTTTGTAGTTATCTAAAAACATGTATTTTTAAAGAAACTCTCGTTCATAATTTGCTTTGAACTTGGTAATTGAAATGTTAAAACACTCTAAAAATGTGTGTACCTTTAATCATCACAGTTTTCAAGAAATTGCTGGAAGCGGCTGAATCGCAGAGGAAGGAGTGGCTGAGAAAGCAAGGTGAGGTCGCGATATGTTGACAATTTGTTAATTACATTTGGAGACCACACAGAACACTTTAAGTAAAACTAAAGTTGTACAATTGTTAAGCGAATATGTACATGTGTAAATATCTTCCCATCACTACAGGTCCTCACTTTATTGAATATCTGAGCTGGAACGTGAGCAAAGATTGCCAAGTACATTTAAATTTCCAAGTAAGTGACCTGGAATAAAATTATACCTATGTGATATGTCATATTAAAAAGGCACTGCTTTTTAATATTACATTGGAATTAGCGTTATGCTGGAGAAAGTGATTACACAAATGGTCGTAAACTCACACTACTACATAAGGCTATATGATACATCAGCCATTATCTTTGAACATTGTGTGCAATCAGTGAAACTTCATCTTTTTAATTGATGTGAAATTTCTTATTTTAATCTGATTGTCACTAAAGGATGTAAATAAAGCAAATACTGCTTTTCAGCCATTACCACTCCTCTGCTGGGTAAAGGTCTGCACATTCCATGACAAAAATGTCTTTTGTTTTTTTGTTAGTCAGGGGAGTTAGATCCCTAGGATGGTTTAGATATCACCACTGATATTATACATCACTGGCAATGACTTAGCACAGTGTGCTAACTACTGCACCACCACAAAATAAATATTCGCTAATGCCTTTACAATTAGGATGCAGCCACGGAGTAACGGTTAGCACACTGGATTTGCAATCTAGAGGTTGCCGCTTATATTTGATTAACATACAGGCAACTTTCTTAATCCCCCCACCCCACCCCCTCCGCCTCTGCCCATCCCGTAGTGTAAAAGGGTAGTAATAATAATAATTTCCTTGTATATTGAGTCGTTCATGGTAATTGCATCCGATAACGCTGTACATATATATGTGATGGACCAAATCCTACATACAGCGAGACCACAGTCGATTGACAGGTGGGTGTGTACGTCACTGTACTCCCCCATCTGACAAGACATCTGACCAGAATGGAAGAGTAGGCCCATTACCCGTGGGGAAGGCCCTTCGACCGGCAGTGGCTTGAGGGAAAATATTTCATGGCAGCACGACGACCTTAGCAATTAATAACATGCTGCTGGGAAGGGAGTGTTGTCAGTGTATATTCTCGTGTATTCATCGTGCCTGCGTGCGTCTGTATAGATAGCCAACTTCAAGAAGGAGACGACTGTTTTGTGGTTCAAGGATGGCAGTATTCTAGCCGGTGCCCACACCGAATTCAAAGACGGACACGGCTCGCTGCTCATCCAAGAGGTTAGTGTTGATCCGCTACTCACTGGACGTTATGTAAGTTTTAAATTATAACTTGTGAGTGCAGATGAAGGTAGGCATCGTTTTCAAGTAAAATACACTATCGTTGAGCGTATTTACAAATTTTTTTTAAACAATATTTGAAGTTATTTTCTTAGGTCACTAATATAATAGCTTAATGTAGCTTAAGACTACCATCTGGTGGTCGATATGCGTATAAAAACTATGCTTGTTCAAAATGCACTTGCTCCATACATTAATTTCGACATGTCCAAGCACCAATTGTGAATAGCACAACAAATATATTAAATATAGACTTCAATTCACAAAGACTGTGTGCCATTCACAGAAGCTTCAATTTCATTTTGGATTGCTAGATTATTTATTTTATTTTTACGTCATTATTTCTAGGGAAATATTTTGCAAAGTTACTATTTTCTTGATGTAAAATAGTATACTTTTTGGAAATGTCATTATCCTCTGCACTAAATTTGTGTATTCTAACAATTCTCCATTCTGTCCTCTTCATAAAGTGTACCAAAGAGAACAAGGGATTGTATAAGGTGGAGGTGAAAGATGAGAGAGGGACTGATGTAAGTGTTTTGGATATTGCTGGTAAAGGTAAGAATCATTTACCATACTTTCACACTCGCATGCTCTGAATTTACACTCACACTTTCCATGCAGTTGGTTGATATGCACACTACACTGATGCATGCCCCATTAAAACGCCATCTGTAAATCACACACAGTGAAAACATTTGCGTTTGCTAGCAACATTCCTTTGTCTACTATAACAATTGCACTGCATTTATGCTCCACTCCCCACTCGATAAACATTTAGAACTTGAAGACCTGATGTGCCAGGTGTGCAAGATGAGTGGTAAGTACCCATGGTGTTTTTATTCATATAATATCATTTGTAATATTGATTTAATTTGTTTTATTAATAAGGTATCTCGGTAAAAAAGCACGTGGAATACACAAGCATGAGCTATATGCATTGGATGTTAAAATCTCAGTCTTAACACAGTTAACCTTTGTGATTTGCATAAATCTGGTGTGACAACCACACAAGGACACTTGGGTAGCTCTGGGGACCAATACTTGTGTAGGAATACTGAGCCAACACAATGAGCTCATGGGTTCGAATTCCGGTCAACCACTCAACACTAAATCATTTTGTCAAACGTGGTGAATTTATGGTTTTTCCCTGTCACTAATGACTGTACAAACAGACATGTACATTTGGTTGTCACATAATGCATTTTCATATAGTGGTGAAGGCTATAATTTAGGTATATTCATCAGATTATTGATAATAAATGATTCATGCTTTGAAAGGTGTGAAGGCATGCTGTTTAGTCTGAGGAAACAAAGACTTCTTTGCAAAATTAAAGCCGCAGTACTCAAAATCGTACATACTGTGGTGTCTCTTAAGATTCGTTCTGTGATTCTACATGGTGCTGCGCTTATACAATTGTGAAGAGAAAAAACAATAGTTTATTCGATTTGAAAAATAATGTATTTAGTCCTTCCTCTATCTGTATGCATTGCAATATGACTTGGTGAGAGCTTAGTAGTTTTTATTGACTGTCAACGAGGACTGTAAGGAGTTGGTTTTAATCACTGCGACTCTGCGTGGTGTGCGACTCTGCGTGGCGTGCGTGTCTGGCCAGCGCTCTCGGCCACACCGCTGCAGTTTGAAGCCACGGCCCAGGGCGTGAAGATTCATTCATCCGTGGTGTATTACTGCGAGGACCTCAAAGTCACCTGGTACCAAAAGTAAAAAACGCAACCACAAATAAGAAAATTATAATTTAATGTATTGATAAATGATCATCAGCACACTTGCCGTAAAGAGATCATTTCTTCCTATCACTGTCAGCGACCCACAGGGCACCACGTCTATCCTCAGCCGTGGTGGTTCCCAACCTTTCTGGACCTGCGAGACCACTATTAACCATCGACATTTTTTCGCAGACCATCGTGTGCCAAGAGCTAAATTTAAACAAATCTCATCTCAATGGTAACATCTGCAACAGTTCCTCAGACGATTTCTCTCCACCTTGCAGGCCACCACTGCTCTCCGATATGCATTCCCCCCTCCTCCTCACCCCTCTTCCTGGCAATTGATGACAACCTATCGAAATTTACGGAGCAAAATATACACAACCTCTTCTTGTAGCCGCTGCCAGTGGTGGCTGGTGGTTTGGGACGACGCTAGATGCCATGGCCTTGCAGATCAATATAATGACAATGCATTACATTTTTAAAACATCTTCCTTTGCTAAAAAAAAAAAATCCCAAATGCAGGATTTATTATTTGTTACATTTTAATTTACCATATGTTTGCTGTGACATCACTAAGCTGTATTAATGTTGTTGTGAATGGTTATTAATGGTATGATTGGAAGACCACACATATGCTATCGTTTCATTCAATGTAGATAAGAGTGTTGTTAGTCATTCTGAAGGCTACCTGACCTTACCAGAACCTAGCCATTAAGGCGAAATTATTGATTTGTAAACGCTGTTAATGTAACAATTTGACACTGAAGTTTATACTCTTTGGTTCTTTCGGTAAAGTCACGTAGGTATAAAATAAAATAAATCACGACGTTTCGGGCGCAACACAAGCATCCATCATCAGGTGGGAAAGCTTTCCCACCTGATGATGGATGCTTGTGAAACGTCGTGATTTATTTTATTGTATACCTTCGTGACTTTACCGAAAGAACCAAAGAGTATGGATTCCTGCAGTCACGAAAGCTTCAAATCAAGACTGAAGTTTGTCATACGAATTTGCGTAAAAATTTGCGAATACCGTAAGGTAAAATGAAACAAAAAAGGACACTTGGCCTCTTAATGTACTGCGATGCATTGTAATCATCGTCAATGTCTCAGAGCCCCCTGCACATGCTATGACTTGCAGGGAAACGAAGCTGTCTTCAACAGAGAAGACTATCATTGGCGTGAGTGGAGAAATGTTGTGGATGCATTTGATTGCACCGACGGAGAAGGACAAAGGAAAGTACGTGTTGGAGCTACACGATGGAAAGGAGGCCCACAAGTTGGCTGTGGACTTCTCTGGAGAAGGTATTACTTATTTGTTGCTTTCACGAAAGGTGACCCCTGCGTGTGTAGCACGAACATACTCGTTAGTTGCTCGTGCCTGTGCCAGTTTTTGAGTAGTTGATCATCTTTCCTTCACTTTTAAGGTTTTACAACTAAAATTGAGAGCATTGATGCTTCAGGTCTGTGTGTCTTTATGGTAACTGTTGTGAAGATGCTTCAATATAAATTAAGTTTTGAAGTTGTGTTCCCCCTTAGGGGCTTACTCTGCAGAAAAGCAGACAAGCTGATCAAAGGGTTGCCAAAAACATAGCGATAAAAAACCAAGTGCTGAATGGATAAGGGTCACCTTCCCATGACATCATTACGATTGAGATTATATTGCGGTGTCACGCGTCATACACCATGTGACGTCATCTTTCGATTTAAAGTTTTCGTGACTGCAGGGATTCATATTCTTGGTTCTTTCGGTAAAGTCACGTAGAAAGGAAATAATACAATAATAAAAATAAAACATAATACAATTCTCACGACGTTTCGGCCACAACGCAAGCAGCCATCCTCAGGTGAAGAACAGAGCTGTAGGAAAGTAAAGCGTCTTAATGAACACTGCTAAGCTTGGCAACGTATTTTAATTTTCGATTTAAAGCTTTCGTGACTGCAGGGATTCATCTTCTTGGTTCTTTCGGTAAAGTCACGTAGAAGGGAAGTAATAAAATAATAATTGTTTTATTATGTTTTATTTTTATTATTTTATTACTTCCCTTCTACGTGACTTTACCGAAAGAACCAAGAAAACGTATTTTAAGCTGGGTGGGAGGAGGAGAGCGCCTTGACAAAGGCGTTTACATATCAACAGGGGAATTTAGCATGTTGATGACGAATGTAGATATGGGGTGAGTCACCCCTTGTGGAATGTGTAGGCAGTGGGGGGTCTCAAAGTCATATTATGCTAGTGTATTATGTAGGATTAGCAGTAATAAAGGGAGGGAAATTTTATTAAAGGTACTAAGAGGGAACAAAGAAATATGTCAATGGGAAAGTGGTAGCAGGAAACTTGTAGTGGAGCAAAAAAAACTCCGATCCGTGAGGAGAATACAAAAGCTTTATATTCAATGCCAGCGAATGGAATGCAGTCTGAAAGTCACCGTAAACGTGAACACAATCAATCAAGACCCGGAATGGTTTATCACGTCCTTCCAATGATTGCTGAGCCAGAATCCATCTTCTGGGTTGAAATTGTCTTTGTGTTTGTATATGTGGATGGCCTCATGAACGAATCTCTCATGGTAGCCGGATGGCTTGCAGATAACCTCTGTCTTGGAGAAGTCAACGTCATGTGAGCCCACTGAATTATAACAGTGATCTGCCACGGCTGAGGTGTTGGTCCTACCGTGTTTTAGGTCTGCTTTATGTTCACAGATGCGGTCCGAGACATGTCGTTTGGTTTCTCCAATGTAACTGCTACCACAGAGGCAACTTAGTTTGTAGACGCCAGGGCAAAACAAAGGACATGTACAAGAAGTTTTCTGAGCAAAAGGAAATAATGTACGGAAGAAAACACAGTTCGTAAACATGAGAGTATACCCAGGGCAATTATTTAAGGCATCAACAAAGAGGTGAGGGAGAGCCTTTGGGAAATTTTATTTTCTAAGATTCACATTAACGTTTGCCTTGTTTAATTCTCTTTCAGTATATGATGAAGTCATGCGTTTATATCAAGCACTCAAGTATGTATATCCGAGGCCCGAAATGGGCACTGTGTGTTTGTTTATGCATGCATTGAATGCTATATTAAAATAGACTCATTACGATATTAAGTAAAAAGTCGCCATAAAAACTAGAAGCATAATTTTCCAACTAACATACTCACCCCATATTGGCATTTGAATCCTATCTGTTTCGTTCCTGTGTGCAATACACGCTTGACATGTTTAAATGTATACACGAATAAATGTCTCATGTGTTCATCTTTCCAGGGAGGCTGCCTTCGCAGAGACACGTAAGATTAACACATTACAACTACTGCCCATTCCCACACACGTTTGCCTGTCTGTGTGTGCAAGTCCAAATTAATGCAGGGGCATTACGCACTGCAGCCTCAGATGTTGAGGTCCCCCCCAAAATGTATATTTATACACAGCTTTACAATGGTTGAAAGGAAATACTGCAGCACTATGACGAATCCAATATGTAATATGGTATTTAATTCCATAGCATAATGTTTATTTCTAACAGTTATATACCGATATTAAACTAGTTTTGACTTCGATTCATATTCTTTGGGTCTTTCATCAGGATGACGACCGCTTGTGTTGTGATCGAAACGTCGTAGTTTTTGTTATTTTCTTTGACCCTGTCCACGTGACTTTACCCAAGGAATATGAATTCCTGCAGTCACGAAAGCTTGAAGTCAAAACTTCGATTTAGTTTTACAAATCGTATATATCACATTTAAAACTTAAAACTAAATAATCTAGGTAAATAATAACGGAGTTTACGGCTTTGAGTATGGGTGGGGGTAAAACGGTAGAGGGAAGAAATTGAATAGACAAAGTGGGGCCCTATAACTATAACGTCTCTGGGCCTCCATGACACTTAATCAGACCCAGTGTACGTATATATTGTTATATATGTTTTAGCGGTTTTATATATCTGCATAATGATTAGCACGTTGCACTACACCCTCAGTAACTCGAGTTCAATTCCTGGCTATGCACAACACAAGTGGTAATAATTGGTACATAAATCTGGTCTGGGCATCTCATATGTCTACTCAGCCCTAAATATGTAGCTAGTGTAGTGTGTACCTCAACGTTCCGTGTAGGGGACGGGAAAAACGTCTGGGCTGTACTGGCCTTAATAGGCACTTACATTATTACAGGGACTCCGCTACTTACGAACGAGTTAGGTTCCAGAGGTCTGTTAATAAGTCGATCTATTCGTAAGTCCAAATCTACTCCTGTCGATTCCAAACACATTGTAAAACGGTGAATGGCTTTAAACGTTGTATAATGTCCTGTAGATGTAGCTGCCACTGGTTCTTCATGTTCTGCAGATGTAGATGCCACCACCGCCATCTATTGCGCGGTGGTTGAACTTACGGATCTTGGTCCGAACAGACAATTGGACATACAGACAAATTTGTCCGTATCTCTGAAAGTTCGTAAGTCGAATGTTCGTAAGTAGAGGAGTACCTGCAGTGTTTTTACTGCTGCTATGATTATTTAATAATTGCACTTTGTCTTGTTACCTTTTTTTGTATTTGCAGATCGTGCCAGGGTGGTTGGAGGTTTGCCAGATGTCGTTACAATCATGGAAGGAAAGGTTTGTAATTTTCACTTTTGAGTTCACATTGTGTGCTCATTTTAAACACACTTATAGCATTCATGCAGACAAAGCACAGTGATATTCCATTTGAGTTGGAACATTACAATCTTGCATTTCAGCTGTTATTCAGTTGCACATGTTAGAGAATCGCATTTTATTACAGTTAGGGCCAAAAAATACTTGCAGTTATTGTGCTCATTATTGACAGCTGTGATGTTTTCTTGAACTCTTCCCGTACGCCGAACCGGCACTGAATTTACTTGTTTAAGGTTACACGCCTTCCTAAACAAATCAAATGCACCTTCTGTAACGTAGTTTGGAAAAGTCCTTTGGGTGAGATAATGAGATTGGTCCTTTGGTGTCTCATTTCTATTGCCTGCCAGATTTTGTCAATGCGAGATTTTGATAACGGAATAAGGCTATACTGTCAGATACCTATAGCATGATTGACAAATAAATGAATATAGAACCTGCTGCCGCATTGAACCCTGATTGTGTGCTGCTGTTGCATAGACGCTGAACCTAACATGCAACGTAGCTGGAGACCCAACGCCCGAGGTGTCGTGGCTAAAGAACGACCGGGAGCTGCCAATCGACGACCATCTGTCCGTCACGCTGGAGAGCGGTCAATACGCCTCCATAATCGTGCGGAACATCGCCATGATTGACTCGGGGAAATACACCATCTACGTGAAGAACAAGTACGGCTCCGAGAGCTGCCACTTCACCGTCAGCGTTTACAATCACGACCAGCCTCCACCCAGCGTCAAAGTGCCACCCGGTAGCGTCCAGGCGCCGCCCAGCAGCGCCAAGTCACCGCCAAGCAGCGTCAAGGCGCCACCGAGCAGCGTCAAGGCGCCACCCAGCAGCGTAAAGTCACCGCCCAGCAGCGTCAAGGCGCCACTCAGCAGCGTCAAGGCGCCCGCGCACAAGAAGTGAGAGGCTGCCCAGCGGGTGGCATTGTCCCCTGCGCGCACAGCCGGCGCACGCACATCGCACGTAGAGAGGAACCCTGTTTCTTTTTTTTTCTTTCAAATATGCACACATTTCACAAAGAATCAATGAAAGCGCACAGCTTGGCAGCTGCAAGCAAGACCGTCGTTTTAATCAGGCAGGAGAACAACTGCAAATTAGGATAGGAATATAAACCAAGCACAGATTCTCAGACACATTATGGTAAACATTGCGAGCGTACAGCAACGCAGCAAGAGACAGTTGATGGCATTTTCTGCTTCTGAAGGTCCCAAAAGAATGTTATCAATCTATGTTGCATTTTGAAAGAGCCGCATTGTTTGCTTGGCTAATTGTATAGGCACACCACACCTGTGTAAGGTGGGCAATACATATTTTGGTCTAGGACTAAGTTAATCAACATTCAAAAACCATAATGAAATGTGTACTTTACCAGTTGGTGAATGTTAATAAACATATATTGGACAGTAACAATATGGACACAAACACCTATTTATCCTGTTCAAATAACGAATCCTTGCTGGGTGCTATAAAGACATTGCAGCGTGATACCATTTGTGAGTCAATTTGTGATGTGTATTGGAACAGGGCTCTTGCTGGCATTTGTATTGTGCAAGTATGTGACAGGACTGTTGTTTAATAGTGTTAGTTGAAGTTAATACAGTGTGGACTTATTTTTGTTTCCTCAGTAGATGTAATTGTAGTCTTTAACTTAGTGGCTATAAGCAGTGAAAGCTAAATACCTGGAGATGTCAAATCAGAGTGTGTTTTAAACTTGAACTGCCTGGTGTTCTATGGGAATAAAGGTCGATATCACTTCCCTCAATTAACAAAAACCCTGCCCCCTAGATCTTGGTGTGTTGTTCGGTAATGATTAGGGAGGCAGGCAAGCAGGGTGATATACACCCAGAAAACATATCCATTTATATCCCTTTTGTTATGACAGTCAGGTATCTATTTCAATGGTTTTAGCATTTAATTATTTTTCTCTTCCATCATCCTAGATCTTTGCAGGTGTTACCATTCTAAACCATTCACTTGCAGCTTGGTCAAGTAGTTCATGCTAATTTCAAAAGTTTTGAACTGTCTTACTGACATGATGTGAAATTCCCCATCGCCAAAATCAGTGCTGTCATTTCTCAAGTGCAGCCCTTGTACATGCCTCTTTGACATCTACCATTCCTCTTCATGTGTATGATAATGAGATAACATTGATTTTTCGAACACATCTGTTAATTAGCAGATAATGAAAACAGGATGAAGGGGAGTCATCAAGGGCTAGAATTTAAGAAATATAAAATTGGTATACTAGTCTTTTACAAACCTGACGCTTACAAATTGAGAACATGAGTTTATTTGAAGATGAAGGGTTAGATTGATTTACGAAAAAAAACATTGGCCTGATCCGTGTATAAATTGATTTACGCACATTTGCAGAATTCATGTTGTGCGTAAATTCCTGCAAACTTCGTTCTGCCTAATTCACGTATCGGTTTTGGCACAGTTCGCCATGTGGAATAGGCGGAGCCCCATTCTGCAAACGTGTCTCAGTTCATCAGCAGCCAGGGGAGTGCTCAGGAGAATGTAAAGCCATCTGTGGCTCCACCCACCACTCCAATCACTCAACGAAATAACAGATTCGTGTTATTTAGAGTCATGTGAGGACAAAGATGGTGATGATGTTGAAGATGGTGATAGAAATAAAAGTGATGATGAGGATGATGTCGATGATAATAGTTTTAACGAAAAAGAAGGAATTATAAGATGATGGAAATGGAAAAGATGATGGCGATGATAACAAAGAAGTAAAATATTGTCGGATGATGATGATGATGATCTCACAGTGGTTCTAATGGTGGTAAATGTAGATGATGGTAATGATGATAACACTGTGTAACAATTTTGTTTTTGTTTTTGTTCTTGGTTAGTAAGTGTTATTTTCTAATTGCTTATGCCTCAAAAGTACAGAAATCGGCTATTATTCCCCACAAACGTTGCTTTTGTGACCAGGACAGTGATATTTTGAAATGTACCTATTTTCAATGCGAAAACGGGTGAATTTGTGTTTTTTCGTTCACATAAAGTCCTAAAAAAATAAGATATGAATCCAAATTAACATGTATTTATTCTAAAGTAATACAAAATTTACTACAAAAGATTTAGACACCAAGGCACACTACCACAGGTCGGACTGGCCACAGCATCAAGTGGGAGCCACTGGTGGACCTCCGGAAGGTGCTGATGCCACCACTGCACATCAAATTGGGCCTTATGAAACAATTTGTCAGAGCTGTAGATAAGGAGTCGGCAGGCTTCAGGTACCTTCAAGACTTCTTACCTAAGCTGTCTGAGGCAAAGGTCAAAGCCGGTGTCTTTGTCGGACCACAGATAAAGAAGATCCTGGAGTGCAATGAATTCCCCAAGAAGCTCACTAGTAAGGAGAAAGCGGCTTGGGACAGCTTTGTCGCAGTGGTTCGTGGCTTCCTGGGCAATCACAGGGTCGAAAACTATGTGGAGCTGGTTGAGACTCTGGTGAAGAACTACGGCACAATGGGCTGTAGGATGTCCCTCAAAGTCCATATTCTTTATGCTCATCTTGATAAATTCAAGGAGAACATGGGAGCGTACTCGGAGGAGCAAGGCGAGCGCTTCCACCAGGATATACTGGACTATGAACGCCGCTACCAAGAACAGTATAAAGAGAACATGATGGGAGTACATTTGGGGGCTTATTCGTGAAAGTGATTTACAATATAATCGTAAATCTCGAAAAACTACTCACTTCTACATTTTTTGTAGTCGTTTTTGTATTACTTTAGTATAAATACATGTTAATTTTGATTCATATGTTGTTTTTTTATGACTGTATGTGAACGAAAATACACAAATTCACCCGTTTTCTCATTGAAAATAGGAAAATTTCTAAATATCATTGTCCTGGTCACAAAAGAAAACTTTGTGGGGAATAATAGCCATTTTCTATACTTTTTAGGCATAAGCAATTACGAATTAACACTTACTACCCAGGAACAAAAAGTGTTACATAGTGTAATGAATGGGTGTTGATGGTTATAAATGGATGCTGCTGCATATTATAATGATTTCGCTGACATTACATGTATTTATGTTGCTATTTTACTTTTCCAAATGATGGCAACGAAAATGACAATGCTGATATATCTGCTCTACTTCTGCTGTTCTAGTCAAAGCGTTGCTGGGAATGGTATTTTTTTGGGATATGGGATGAAACAGTTAGGTGCACCTTTGGTTGGAGTAGACGAAGCAATTGTCCATAAAGATTGATTCATTTACTCAATAATGTACTGTCTTTTCACGGCCATATCGTCCGTGGCCCAGTGGAATTTGAGTTTCATAGATTTCACAACGGTAACAGTGACATATTCGTCGTTACCGTTATCACCATTACTTGCAGCGGTGTCCATTTATCAATGCATCAACATAATTATCATCACTGCAAAGGAAGTGGCAGAATGACGCCCATATTGGCTACACTCTTCAGACCTAATGATGGCAACACATGGGCCTTAGTAGTTGTCAAGGTTGCTCTTGCCGCAATGGACAAATATTAATATTCTTTTATTTATTTTATCAGTCGCACAAAGGTGATAAATAAAATATCTGTGGCTCATTATGATGGATGTGGGAACAAAGGAGGCAGCTAAACACCCCTGTTTTATGACAGGGGGGCCAAGCTTATAAGTGGCCATTTACTTCACGATATATGGTCTCCCATGCCTCCAATAAAAATAACTCCCACCATGCTCACAGTGAGGTGTTCACACAGAAATACTCCAATAAAATGAAAACTTATTTGGCAGTGGTGCACAAGCACAAATAAAATAAAGTCAACGGTATTCGTCAATAGCACTGCCTTAAAAAGAAAGCATGTATAATAGGTGAGGTTTGGGATATGACCGTTTTGTCACAGGACATAAGCCAGAGATGTAGAGTTGATAAAAGTTGGATACAGCACTTTATGTCATAGAAAATGCTACTGATAAAATAGTATTTACATCTCTAGCCTATGTTATGTGAAGAGGAATTTACCAAAACATTGCCTATTATATATACGATTTATTTTCAAGGCAGTATTATTGATGTGTCGAGTTTTCTTTTAAACATATGTTCAAAATGTCATGCTTTATAGAATATGTTAAATTTACACTCAAAAGATCATCCTCCAGTCGTACGGGCAAGGCCGTCTATAAGGAGATGCGGGACATGGGGCAGATCACACTGTGTGGGCCCCCCGATGCCTTCAAACTAAACCGGACGTATTACATCTGACACCGTCACGTCGAAGCGCAGAGCCCCCCAAATCGTGGGGCCTGGGGCAGTCGCTCCAATTCTCCCGACCTTAGGGACGGCTCTGCCTACAGTCAAAGTCAAGCCTTTTTTTCGTGATGGAATTTTCATTTCGAAAGTCTACTTCTTTCTTTCAAAATTTCACGATGCGTTATGTTGAAAAAAAATTCAGATTGGGAAATTGACTGAAAATTATTCATCTTTATCAAGCTTATTTAAATTGATTTCAGTCTTATTAGGAGTGTAGTTTGACGATTTTCTGTAAGTGAAACGTGTGAATAAAGCCTTGCTCGTTACATTTTTCTGGTGAAATGTCATATTTTCAACTTTCCATAGGTTGCATTTACAAAGTGTGTTTGTAAATTGTTCGTATTCAAATATATATCTTGAGCTTGAGCTTTATCAAGTTCTAAAGTGCCCTGAGATTCATCTTGCACGTAGGACTCGAGATAACGGTCAAGTTGAGCCTCAATGATCTCTTAAGATGTCAACGGCAAACCGAGCTGCAACTTCACACGCGGTGCTGAGCTAGACACGAGAACGACCGAGTTCCAAGGTCGCACGAAAAAAAAAACACAATACGATGACCATTATAAAAAAACAAGATCCTTGCTTGCCTATAACATGTCCGTTGAACTTATTTCCCATCGTACATAGCCAACCGTGTTAATCGTGTGGACATCTGGCAGTTCACCAGCGCTGATCCAAGTACGCCTGACTGCCAGTGCCGGATTATCCTAGTAGCAAAGGTAGCATATGCTACGGGCCCCGCACTAGTTTAATCCGGCACTACTGACTGCTAATAATACGGTTCGATACCGTCATCAATCACTGCTGCCGAGATTATACTTAAGCCAGAAATCGTTTACGCAGTTGAGATATATAAGAAATGCGTAAATTATGCGGTCAATGAATACATTAGTGAGACATATATCTGCCTACATATTAGATGCAAAAAAAAGTTTTGCTGGCTGGCTCGGGCACGGTCGAATGCCCCGAGCGTGGGCGTCAAATCGCATATCTGTGTGATTACGTCACCCGCATCCGACATTGTCGAGCCGTGCTCGTACGCGTTGACGTCACGACGCACCCCCACCCTCCACCCGGCCTGTATTGCCACGCAAATGTGAGCGGTGGTGAGAGATTGAAGTGAGGAAGGGAAGATGAGAGAGAGCACAGAGGAAGATACGAGAGGGAAACGGAAACTTTTGACTTTTTAAACAACTTTTATTGCCGCCAGCAGCAACAGAGGTGATTCCGATATGAAATACAGTCACCAGCAAACAAACGAATAAACGCTATAAATCCACGCGCTGTGGCGCTCAATGCAGCGCGCACAACACAAAAGAAAGTCACGTGGTGGTGGTGGTCATCGCGCACGCCACGGTGACGAGCGAGCGCCTCAGAAGGTGAACACGAGGGTGCCGTCCACGCTGGTACAGAGGGCTTTTCCGGCTCCCCAGCGTTCGAAGAAGACGTGCACATCACCGACATGTGTGTGGTACATGGCGTGCTCCAGCCGGAGCCGCGCCTTAGGCAGGCCCCTGAACACTGGAAGCACAGAGCAGCCGTCAGTGTCACGTTTCAGCATCTTTTTCCTCGTTCTCTACACCGCCAGAGGATAAATAGAGAGAGAGAGTTGAAAGAAAATAACAAAAAACTACGACGTTTCGATCACAACACAAGTGATCGTCATCACGATCATCACAACCGCTTGTGTTGTGATCGAAACGTCGTTTTTTGTTATTTTCTTTGAACCGATCTACGTGGCTTTACCGAAAGACCCAAAGAGTATGAATTCCTGCAGTCATGAAAGCTTTAAGTCAAGATAAAGAGAGAGATGAACGTAGAAGAGGGGAACGAGGGAAGTCAGGGGAGGGGAGAGAGCTTGAGAATGGAAATGGCCATGTGAGAATAAACTAAACTTTAAATTTTACTAAGACCCCACTGAGCTATGTAGCTGTTTTTGTTTTTCAGAAGTGACCTGGCTATCACAAGTGATACAGTGAGGGAAAAAAGTATTTCATCCCCTGCTGATTTTGTATGTTAGCCCACTGACAAAGAAATGATCAGTCTATCATTTTAATGGTAGGGTTATTTGAACAGTGAGAGACAGAATAACAACAAAATCCAGATAAATGCATGTCAAAAATGTTATAAATTGATTTGCATTTTATTGAGGGAAATAAGTATTTGACCCCCTCTCAATCAGAAAGATTTCTGGCTCCCAGGTGTCTTTTATACAGGTAACGAGCTGAGATTAGGAGTACACACTTAAAGGGAGTGCTCCTAATCTCAGATTGTTACCAATATAAAAGGCACCTGTTCACAGAAGCAATCAATCAATCAGATTCCAAACTCTCCACCATGGCCAAGACCAAAGAGCTCTCTAAGGATGTCAGGGGCAAGATTGTAGACCTACACAAGGTTGGAATGGGCTACAAGACCATCCGCCAAGCAGCTTGGTGAGAAGGTGACAACAGTTGGTGCGATTATTCGCAAATGGAAAAAACACAAAAGAACTGTCAATCTCCCTCGGCCTGGGGCTCCATGCAAGATCTCACCTCGTGGAGTTGCAATGATCATGAGAATGGTGAGGAATCAGCCAAGAACTACACGGGAGGATCTTGTCAATGATCTCAAGGCAGCTGGGACCATAGTCACCAAGAAAACAGTTGGTAACACACTACGCCATGAAGGACTGAAATCCTGCAGCGCCCGCAAGGTCCCCCTGCTCAAGAAAGCACATATACATGCCCGTCTGAAGTTTGCGAATGAACATCTGAATGATTCAGAGGACAACTGGGTGAAAGTGTTGTGGTTAGATGAGACCAAAATTGAGCTTTTTGGCATCAACTCAACTCGCCGTGTTTGGAGGAGGAATGCTGCCTATGACCCCAAGAACACCATCCCCATCGTCAAACATGGAGGTGGAAACATTATGCTTTGGGGGTGTTTTTCTGCTAAGGGGACAGGACAACTTTACCGCATCAAAGGGACGATGGACGGGGCCATGTACCGTCAAATCTTGGGTGAGAACCTCCTTCCCTCAGCCAGGGCATTGAAAATGGGTCATGGATGGGTATTCCAGCATGACAATGACCCAAAACACGCGGCCAAAGCAACAAAGGAGTGGCTCAAGAAGAAGCACATTAAGGTCCTGGAGTGGCCTAGCCAGTCTCCAGACCTTAATCCCATAGAAAATCTGTGGAGGGAGCTGAAGGTTCGAGTTGCCAAACGTCAGCCTCGAAACCTTAATGACTTGGAGAATATCTGCAAAGAGGAGTGGGACAAAATTCCTCCTGAGATCTGTGCAAACCTGGTGGCCAACTACAAGAAACGTCTGACCTTTGTGATTGCCAACAAGGGTTTTGCCACCAAGTACTAAGTCATGTTTTTCCTCATTAAAATACAAATCAATTTATACAATTTTTGACATGCATTTTTCTGGATTTTGTTGTTGTTATTCTGTCTCTCACTGTTCAAATAAACCTACCATTAAAAGTATAGACTGATCATTTCTTTGTCAGTGGGCAAACGTACAAAATCAGCAGGGGATCAAATACTTTTTTCCCTCACTAGCTCAACGAAGTGGCTTATCATCGTGTGGACATTTACAACAGCCACATACTCGAAACGCAATGCTGATGACCAAATGTGGAGGGAAAACCCGCAGGACCCGGAGACAAATCCAGAGTGAGGGATAGCGCGAGGGTGAAATGTGAGACACGGGGAGAGAAATTGCGGTGAGATACAGTTGAGGGAGGAGAGCAATATAGAGGGAATTGGAGAGGTAGAATAGGGGACAGAGAGGGATAGAGAAACATATATACAGAGTGAGAAGTCGAGACATTGCGATGTACAGCAGCACAAGGGAGACAAGTGAGAGGTGGAGAGAGGGCAGACGGATGGCCACGTCCAAAGGGCGTGCGGGTTGCTCTTTGCCAATTTGTAGATCGTGGCGAGATGTTAACAACATCGCCTGGTATACAGGAGGGTTTTATCCCGACCCTGACTCCTGTATACTTGTGAGTTTGCGTGTCTCTCTCTCCCCCCGTGGTCGTGTGGATTTTTATGTCCGGGTCCTCCGGTTTTTGCCTCCACATTTAGAATGAGCATCACGCGCTGAGAGTGTTTGGCTGATAGACATCCACATGACAAAGGGGCCGTCCATAAATAACGTAACACACCTCTGGGGGGGGGGGTCAGACATTTGTGACGACGTGTGACGAAGGAGGAGGGGGGTCAAAAATCGTCCAAAATCGCGTGACGTCATTTATGGACGGCCCCAAACCACTACGATGACAAACTCAGTGGGCTTTACCTGGTAAAATAAAAAATATGTTTATAGCAAGAGAGCCGTGTGGTGCGAAAGCACGTGTCCGCGCTCAGTGGATACGTGCAACCAAAATAACAAGAAGAGATGCAATGCAATGTGAATGCGAGACGGTGCTCCTTCATAAGTAGCGTCTACGAAGCAGTCCTTAAAGAGCCGCATGCAGCTCTTGAGGCCGCGCAGGTTTGCTGATCCCTGGGCTCATTGGGACACTCACCACGCTCACGGCACCGCCGTGGCTCTTCAAACGATGCCCTTCTTTCCCTTAATTCCTTCGTTCAACGGCGCTGTCGCGAATTGAACCTGATGGCGGTACCCCGGGGGTTACTATAGTCCACCGGTTCTCGCATAATGTCCGTGGTGCAGTCGTTTATAGTCTGTTGATGGTCGGCGATGCAGCTATCGCCTCATCTCGACGAGCTGTACACGATGCAACTATTCAAAGTTGCATTTTTCGATAATGGATTTTTTTATGCTGTTTGGCGTTTCGATGGAGCGGAGTAGCACCACCGATTTCCGATTGATTGGTACCCCAGTCAGGGAGTGAAGGGGCCATCCATAAAAGACATCACGCGATTTTTGACGATTTTTGACCCCCCCCCCTCCCCTTCGTCACACGGCGTCTCAAAAAGTCAGACCCTCCCTCAATTATGACGTCACAAAGCTCTACCCCCCCCCCAAAAAAAACACATGATTCAAATCGCTTTAAACTATTGTAATTGTAGTGCGTATTTAATGTGGCGCTGCACTCTGATGTTGTAGGAGAAAACATTTATTAAAACGTCTATTTAATTAAGTAGAACGTTTAAAGTTGCGCATTTTGATGTGACATCACATTTCTCACCCCCCCCCCCCACCCCTTGTCACACATCGTCACAAATGTCTGACCCGCCCCCTCCCCTTAGGTGCGTGACGTCATTTATGGACGGCCCCTAAGTAACACCCCTGTAAAAAATAGTGTC